TGATGTCGCGTTGATAAGCGGACAAGAACTTTCGCAATATAAAAATTCGAAATATATATATATATATATAAAAAAAAATCAAATACAAAGTGCGCGTAATCAAAAGAATTCCCAAAACACAACAATAATTACATATAGTAAATTAAAAATAATTAAAAAAGAAACCAAGACAATGTGAAACCGTGCAAAATCAAAACAAATTATTTGTCGCACGTTGGCCCCGCTCAATGGAAAAGAAAAACATATGTAGTAACCATGAGCTTGGGGCGTGATTATTTTTTTGTTTGGTGTGGGTTCTCGTTTTTGGATTTTGTTTTTTTATTTTGATTTTCTATAGGGGGGCACGTGAGGTCCAAGATTTGGCTTATTTTATTTGATTTTTTGCACCCTTGGATGCTGATAACAGATCCTCGCTCTCCACAGAGTCTGGATGAGACTCGAATTGTTTGGTGAGGTCTGGCTTTTACTTGTCAGTTCGGATCTTAACCTCCAGCTTTAAGGTTCTTGGATGGGTCGATCCTACTCCTGTTTTTTGTTTGTGTCTGTAATTTTCTTTTAGTACTCGAAAGTGTTGCAAAGATTTTCTGAAACGAGGAGAGAGGAGGTATGTTAGTGCTCCGCATTGCATAATTGATTTGAACCCGAAACAAAATTAAATTGCAAACTGACCGAGTGGCCCTAATTTATGCCAACAAGGAGGCTGTGTTAAAAAAAAAGAGTAAAGTGATGGAGAAAATAACAGAGTTTTGAGTTCACTGAGAAGAATATATTTTAAAAATATTTAAAGAGTCCGAAAATTTCATTTTCAAGCTATAAGCAGCTGCCAGCTGTAAGACTTCTTAAAATGTACTGAAAATAATATATAACTTCAGTGCTTATTCTAAGTTTTCTTCTGATTTTTCATTATGAAGGAAATAAGCAAGTTGAGTGCCTGAAAATTTGTATATATGATTTAAGAACCCATAAAATGGTCTCACAAAAAATATAGAATTTCAAGGAAATTTCTTAGCTTTTTTGGAAATCAAATTTTAATTATTTTCCTTGCTTTCAATTTGAATTTTAAGCATTTTCTTCATTAAGAAATAGAGAGAGTTTCAGCAAAATGATAGAGCACATCTGTCCAGTTTTAAGATCTTTTGAATATCTCTCTCCATATGGATAATTTCAACATTTTTCTTTTCTTGTATATCTTTAAAAATTATGAATAATTTCTGCATTTCTTGGATCTTTTCTTTGTTTCTTTCAAAGTTCAGCGAACTGCATTTTGTGTTGCTGCTGCGGCGACAAACAAAATATTCAAAGAATGCATTTTCACATGTGTGGCAGAGTTTTCTTCTTTTTTTTCGTCTTGGCTTGGCAACAACGGAAAAGAAACAATGTTGGCATTGTCTACAACCAAATGTTTAAAGTTTATTTGACTCTTTTTTTTGTTGTTGTTTATTTTTTCCTACAGTTTCTGATATTTGTCTGACACTTTTGCTGTGCTTCCTGCTCTCCTTTCGCCGAGTTTATTTTAAAATTTTTTAACGAAGAACAGCCAAGAATTTTTGCACTTGTCATGTGTTTGCCATTTTTCGCCATTCACTGAGGTTGTAAAATATATCTGTGAGATACGTTTTCTATTTCGTTTTTATTATTATTATTTTTGTTTTTTTGCTTTTGCTTTTTGGCCTGTTGCTGCTGGATAAAGAAATGTTTCCAAAAGGAATTCCCTCTCGTGTCCTTCTGCCATTGAGATATATTTTTCCTTGTGACATTAAGGAAAAGTCTAAGAAATGAACTTTGACATTCCAAATATCAACTTGAAATGATTACAGTTTTATCTTATTTAGCTTTTTAGAAATATTTGCCAAGTGTTTTATGTATTTATTTAAAGAAAAGGTATGAATTGTTGCGTTTTTGAGTTGCTGTTTTAATAAATAAGAGAAAATATGTATGTTTTTTAAGGCGGCAAGTTTAGTTTATATTTATTTGAAATGAAGAGTATAAATTCCGCTTATAATTATGTGAACTATATAACTTTATATAAATTTTTAAGACTCCAGGATAAGAAATATGCCAAAAATTCAATGTACAAAAATATAAAAAATGTCTTTAATGAATTTCCATGACAATTTCTTGTTTACTGAATCTAAAATAGCAGCTTTGGACTAAAAAATGTCTTTAATTATTGATCAAAATCAGATTGCAAGGCATGCCAATTTATTTTTAACTAAAATTTCAAATATTTCTTGAGTTTAATTTTGCTTTTTAATAAATTTCCAGGCTTCAGCCAAGCCTGGTCAGCTATTTTGTGGTCACAGGGATTCAAGGGGATGGAGTCGTCTCCTTTTGTTTTGAGGCTTCCTAACCATTTTGCCTTTCATTATGCATTTCTGCATTGTCAGGACTTTTTTGGGGGAGTTGGGGAAGTTGACCCAACACAGATGATGTCGACTTACTTACTATATCATCACATGCTGCTCCTTTATCTTCCCCTTTGCCTGACTTTTCTGGCACATTTTTGGACAGCAACTTCCGGTTTTTGTCTTGACATTTTCTTCTCATGTTTTCTTTGGTTTTCTAATTTTCTGTTGCTTTGTTGTGGTTGCTCAAACAATTATTTTTGCATTTTCATGTGCAAATTTTTCCTGTTTTTTTGTGCTGAGCAGACAAAGTGGAAAGCAAGTGCCTTCTCCCTTGATTTTCCCCTCGTTTTTCTAGCACTCATTTATTTAACACAAATTGATTTCTCCGCGTTTGATTCATTGAAAGGCATTTGATGCATTTTTATTTCTTCTCATGGCTTCAATTACAGAACGAAGAAAAACTTATTTATAAACCTTGATTTATATGCCATTTCTCTTACTGATTTTTTCATTTCATTTTCCATTTGTGTTACGCTTCACATTAATTGTCTTTTGTTTGTTTTTATTTTTGTTTCGGTTTTCGGTTCTTTTGTTATATGTATGTATATTGTTTTGTATTGTATTATTTGTAGCATTTATTTTTGGCCTGGTTTTTCATTAATTTTCGCATCTCATTATACTATACATATACATTACTTGGGTGCGATTTTCGTTTCCCTCCCTCCTCTTCGATTTTTCATCGATTTCAATTGCGTTTGTTTATGTGGCGACCTTCGGAGTTTCGGGTTGGATCTCATCAAGTTTATTTACTTGAACCGAAACAGAAATTACACATACGCCGCATTGGCCTTGGCAGCTTCCCTCCCCTCTCCCCATTTCGGATTTTCGCATTAAGTATTCATGCAGCTCTTAATTAAAAGCGCACGCATGTCTAATTGGCATTAAGCATACGCCAGGGTGCACTTGACCAGAGCCAACTGACATGGCCAGGAGAGGTTTTGGCATATTCTCTCCCTCGCTCTCTCTTTGTACTCTGGATTCTGATTACGGATTTGTGGTCAACAGAAAACGGCCAAAATCCTGGCTTTGTTATCACGTTGTGGCAACTGGTTGGATAGTTTCTATCTCTTTACTAGAAAATGCTTTCTAGTTTCTCGCTCGGGATTTGTGTCTGACAATTTTCATGGCAACATTTGGCTATTTTGGAAAGTTTATGCTTTAATGATTATGATTATAGTTTGTGTTTATGATGAGGCTTTCTTTCAACTGATTATGATTATGATGGTTTGCTTGAAATTTTGATAATTAACGAGATTAACCTTTTGTGTTGGGATTAGAATTTTAGGAAATTAAATTACCAAAGTATTTAACCATTAAAAATGTTTTTAAACAAGAAAGGAGCCAAAGTTATGACCCTTGCAATGAAATTATCCGATCGAATCGTAAATTGATCATAAGTAAAATTAAATCTTAACATTTCTTGAATTGATATTATTCCATATATTATATAAATGAGAAACTTTTTCCACAAATCTATGTTTAAAATAATCAAAACTAAGCTAAAAAAAACATTAATTTTAAATCGGAAAGCAGTTCTATGCTAGTTTTTAGTAGGTTAATAAATCTGCATACCGAATTAAACAGTTTTAAAAATTTGAATTTTTATCATATATATTTTTTTTTTTCAAAATTTTAACGATGTTTTAACCCTTATAAAATTTTCAAATTTTGACAAAATTTTTATTTTCTCTCAAACATGCCCAGATCCATTCTGCTATTGACGCTGATCAAGAATATATATGATTTATAGGGTCGGAAATGATTCCTTCTCAGGGTTTCGAGCTTCTGATTATATAATAATATAAAGTAGGGAAGATTGCTTTCCATGAAGATCTCTTTAAATCTTCCTAGTTTTCTGTTTATTTGTGTATTAACTCTTGGTTACTATATATAAAAAAGACCTGGCAACGTCTATACCATATTTAATGGTTACTTAATTATATTATTACCTAATAATACATCCATCAAAAAATCCCATTTAGTGAACACACAACAACATGTGTAACTCAAAACATTAAAGAGTGATAAAAGTGTATTAGAAAAATGTGTCTCAGTTTGCGGAAGCTTTGTCAAGCCTGTCGAGGTTGGTAACAGACCCCCCATAATAATAAAATCTATTAATAACCTCCATTTAAAACTAAACAAACTAAAAATATTTGAAAATAGCTAAGGAATTCCACTAATCCAAAACCAAGATAATTGGCAAACTAACAAACACATCTAAGACATTCCACAGACACTTTGAAAATGTCTCCACGCTTGGGAAATTAAAAAGAAAATTTCTCTTGCTAAAAAAGACACTCTCAAACGTCCAATTTAAAGAGGCACATATATATTTATATATATAGCCATGCCTCCTTCTATATATCTTCTATATTTATTGGGTGCGTTGACAGCTTTAGCTTTTCCTACGAAAAAAAAGTCCCACAAAAAAAATAAATAGAATCTTTCGATTAGTTCTAAACGATTAAAGAATTCACCCGTGAGTTCCCTGGCCAATTTGTGTATAAATAAATAAATTAGGAATATAGAAAATAATGGCAGGAACGATTCATTCAACAATTCATTAAATGTGTCAAAATATTTACGCTTGATGTTATTGTGTTGACTCAGTCACAGTCAACCTTTTGACAGTTTTTGGATAAAAGATCAAAATTAAATCTCTTAAAAAAATAGTAAAAAATTGATATAATCAAAATGTATATGGAATCTGATGAGAAGAAAAAGGCTGGTGGTAGCCAAAGTTTACTGCAGACTTATAACGATAGAGAAGCCCACACCCGAAAGGCCGCAAGTCGCCAGAGGGTCAAGAAGAGTCAACAGAAGAAGCACGAAGTGGCCAAACCAATTGACCAGGAGGAAGAATATGACGACTACATGGCCCTGCTCTCCAATGATTTCATCCTAATGTTGGACTGCTCTCCGCAACCGGATGAGGTCTTTTGCCAGGAGTCACGAGAACTGGGATTAGCTAGCATTTGGCTCAATAAGATGATCACTTGGCGCTGCAATACACTCTATGATCTGCGCATGCGCAACGCGTACATGAGTCACCTCATCGTCTGCTTAAATCGAAGACAGATGACGGGTATCTTTAGGGATCTACCGCCACAGGAACTCACCTGGGTGAACTTTGAGGAGGAGAACAAAAGCCATCATTCATCACCAATTAATCACATGGCCATGGCCTGTTCTACCTGGATGGACAAGTCCCAACCGAGTTCCTGTACCGAACCCTGTTGTAGCAAGACCTTAGGTTCGGGCGCACATCCTCCGTGCCACTGTGGAGGTCCAAATAGGGCAGGATCTTGCTGCTCAAACCATCGTCATTTGGGAGGAGGATCATTCCATGGCTCACAAATTGAGACCTCCACCGATGACAAAGAGATCAAAATGATAATGCCCGTGAGGAAGGATGGAAATCGTCCATTTGGCTGTCGTTCGGCATGCAATAGTCTACGCAACCTCTGCTCATCCGGCAGCCGCTCTCAATCCTTGCCAGGTCGCCTATTGATCAGGAATCCAACTGAAAGTACCCCTACAAAATCAGACAATCCCAAGGATAAAAATTCAGCTAAAAAATCAGAAGATCAACCTAAGGAGGCCAGCCCGAAGAAGAACAATCGCATAAATCCTAACGTTGTGCGGGATGAGATGCTCAAGTTATTGCTAACAGTCAAGAAAGAATTGAGCGGTGATCCTGATGTGGAAAGGAATGAGTTCCTGGAGAAGGAACTAACACGATATCGGGAATTTGCTGAAAATCATAAAGACAATGACACCGATTGGGTTTCGGCAAAAAATGAAAAGTCTCTGCGAATCTATTTGCTTTTAAACATGCAAAGAGACTTAGTTCGGATGCTAAACGAAGACGGAGTTGAGATACCACATTAATTCAGGTTTTCAATTTATATTTTACAAGGCGACAAAATAAATTTTTTTTAGGAAAGCTTTTGATTTAATCAATTGTTCTTAAATAATTGGGATAAATTGGGGTTTTGGGAGTAAGTAAAGGAAGAGCAACAAATAAACATTCGTTCATTATACGTAGCCTTAAATGGGTTATAGCTTATGAGAAATTATTTATTTAAATACAATATACAAGATAATAAATAAAATACACTTGAAAACTTAAAAAGACATCCCTAAAATGTCTTAGATCTTATAAAAGATCATTTATTTACTCATAAACTCATAAACCTCAAAAGTCACCAATGAAGATACTTCCTGCATCCGAAACATTTAGAAAATCTCTCGAATTAATTAAATATTTAATAACTCTTAAATCTCCTTTTCTTCTCTCCTTGAAGGTCGCAAATCTGTGGATGAATCTCCTGCAACGGCCAGCTCCCAACAACAACAGCAGCAGCAGCAACATTCCATTCCAGGCTCCGCCACTGGATCACCCCAGCGAGTGGTGGCCAATAAGCGGAGCAGCATTACGGTCAATATGCCAGCCGCTGGTCTTGGCCAGAGACCGCCCAGCATTATTTCAACCACCAGCCAGGACGAGGGTGGCTTTAACGAAACCACTCCAGAGCTAAAGGCCAAATTGCAGCCATCCTACGACCAAACGGAGACGGAGCAGCCGCACAGTCTCAACTACGTGGATGTGGGCTATCGCCTCAATCCCGACGGCAGTGAGAGTCGTGAGGTTTACGGCTCCGAGGCGGAGCTATACGATACCGCCAAGGTCACAGATATGCAGCGAAAGTTCCATGGAGCCAATGGTTTTGGCCAAGAGTCGAGCACAGTGTATGCCATCATTAAGACGGATGCTCAGGATGCTAACCAGCAGCAGCAACAACCGGTGGCTACCTCGCGTTCGGTTCACCTGCAACAATCGCCGACATCCTCGAGTGTGGAGGGATCTCCCCTGCATCGTGGTGTCTATAGCTCACCACCCGTTGGTGTCGTCTCCCCCATAAGGCGACGCAATAGCAACAATCAGGATCAGAGTGTGGGCAGTGCCAAGTCCACGCCACCCATTTCACCAGCCAGATCGGCATTGGTCAAGGGTATTGCTCCCATTGCTTCCATTGATGCGCATGAAGAAGAGGAACTAGATCTCCATGCGGAAGATGAGGAGGATGAGCACTTGGCAGTGGAATATGTGGAGGTAATCGAACTGGAGGAGGAGGAGGAGGAAGCACCCATTCTGCCCGAACGTCGTGCGCCTGCTCAGGGTGCCCTTGAGCTGCAGGATTTGGAATATGCGGACACAAGTGCCGGTGAGGATGAGGAGGATATACTCAATCATTTGAAGGGCAGCGATATATTGGATGTGGAGCTAATCGATGACGTTGTCGATGAGGTGATCAGCAAGGTGCATGTGAAGCATAATGTGGTCAGTGCAACACCAGCTGCAGCAATTCCTCGAGAGGATAGCCTGCCGGATGCCATGACTGCCGCCGAAGCCGAAAGATTGTTGAGCTCAAGGTGAGTTTGTGAGAGTTTTATATTTATATGTATTTATTTGTAATTTTAAGTGCCTGATTAGACATTAAAACTTGTTAATGTTGTAAGCATGCATTTGTATTTGTCCTGTTTTATAGTTTTTAACTATTAGTTAGTTGTAGAACTTTTAAAATAGTTTAAATAAGAACCTATCTCAGTGCATTTCATATATGTATTTCTAACTAACTAAACAAGTTTAGTTTTTGCAATAAGGTACAACTTTTCTTTTATCTATCCAAATGTCTGTCTGAATCCTTTCAATCCAATTACCTTTAAGTTTGATTAACAATTTCCGATGAGGTTATAAAATATATGTATTTAATATACAATCATCTACGAATACCTTAAAATATCTCTCTAAAATCACCAGACAACTTCTTCGCTTTTGTTGACTTCCAAACCACTATCTCATTAGCATACTTATTTATTATTTCTATCCAATAATTTAAATTAAATTCAAGGTATTGCATCTTAGACTCTGATAAGAAGCAGCCACAGCTCACATTCATTCCCCTTGATCTCCTTGAGGTTGGAGCCACTGAATGGAGCTCACATATTGAGCAAATATTTACATTTTGCCACAACCTCTGCCTTCTGTGTGTGTGTGGGACGTGGATTTCCCCTCATCTCAGAGTTGTGCTATTCATCATCGGCTTTGCCACCTTTCAGCGCCAGCTTTGTTGTAATTGTAAGCTAATCTGTCGCTTGTCAACTGCTGATGCCACTACCCAAGGTCCATCCAGAGTTAGTTCCGCCTCAGACTTTCCGCCTTTGACTTCGTCATTGCCCGGAAGTATTGGCTCTAAAGGAATGTGGCAAGAGAGAGCGACGAGTGGATTCCTGCTTGTGAGTCCTTGTCGTTGTGCTATCCAGTAAATGGTGTAAGCCAGGCGCCACTTTAAGCTGCCAAACTTGTTTAACTATTCAAGAAATAGCCATTAAACTGGCTATCGGTCTTTAAGTCATTAATTAATGACTTGGGTATATTTCCAGAAATTTTCAGACCTTAAAAGTGTCTTAAATTGAAAGAGTAACGTGTGTCTTTAGGGACTTTGTGAGTCAAAAAAATGATCTTAGATTTAGCTTCATAAAGTGCTGCAAAGAAATAATAAGGAAGAACTCAACTTAAATACTACTGTAAGTCATCAATTTATGTAATAACTGTAGTAAATCTAGGCAAATTTTGTAACCTTAAATCTTTCTTTAAATTGAAAGAGTGTTTTTTTGTGGATTTTGTGAGCCAAGACTTATCTTAAATGTAGCTTCCACAGGTATTTATAGGAGAAAAGGCTTAAAAACTTGACTTAAATATAATCTATATATAAACGATTTATACAGAAATAACTTGGGCGTTTATAAGGCTTAAAATGATGATAAAAAAATTGCTACAACATTTTATTATCGTAAAAAAAATTACATAATATTCCTATAAATTTGCATTTCATACTTTTAGACTCCTTTTTAAGGCTTTTAACAATCCTATAAATATCTGGAGCATCCCCAGTTAAAGTATTTTATTAAAAATATAAATAAATACAACGTGCTTGAAACACCTTGTGTTTTAAAGAATTTTTAACGCTTTACCTTACCCATTAAATATATTTTCTTCCTAAAAACAAACCTCACCTTTTGGCTTCTGTCTGCAGGTGTGTTATTCTTTTCAGTTAAAGTGTTTTTTATATGTGTTTGTGGTGTGGCTTTAAGTAGTATCTAGATTTTCGCAGTCATTTATTCTTGGCCTGGCTTTCTGCGAGCGATTCGTGGCGGCTGCTCCCCAACAGAATTGACTTGCCATTGATTTATTATGTGTACAGCGAGTAGGATGAGTGCAAGGAATGCCAGGGAAAACCTCACACGAATCCCGTGGCAGTATTAAAATGCAATTTTCAAACGATTTCCCTACCTACAGAGAGACTTTTCCCCCCATTTCAATCGTTATAGTTTTCGCCATTTTGTGCTTATTTACGCTCGTTCTTCGACGCCTTTTTTTGGGGGGCAATTTATTATGAGCCATTACCCGGAATTACGTTCATAGTCTTCGTCCTGGCTGTGGAATTTCCGCGTTTCGCACGCAAATAACCAATTTCTTTTTTAGCAGCTGGAACAAAAATTACACTTAACCCGTGGTTTCTTTTGCCAATATAAAAGCCAGCTCGTATCCGTACTATGTGTGTGCCTTTCGCCTGCTGCATACGTCAATTAGTCGAGAGCGCTAGCGCCTTTTTTTCCCCTGTTGTCCTTTTTATTTGCACACAAACACAGAAAACCCACTCAACTTGCGAGTGGAAAACTCCCACAGAGAGAGCGAGAGAGATTTTCCACTCGCTCTCTCTCTCTCTGGCTTTCGGTCGCGTGCATTTTCCACTCGGTTTTCCGCTCAATGCTGCTGCCTGTGTCCTGTGCAGTTTTGTCCTGCAGTTTCCTTGCCACTCGACACGAATCACATGCCCGCCGCTCGTTCATCCTGTCGCATGGCTGGAAAATTGTTACGCTACCAAAATAGTAAGGCAAAAACCGAAAAATCGAAAAAGGAAAAACAACAAAAAAAAAACACGGGGAAAATTCCACGCGCGCGAAATGAAATCCGTTTTTCCGTTGCAAAAATAAACCTGACAAAAAGGAAAAACACAGGAAATGTATGTGAGTGTGTGCGTGCAAGGCAATCTCTTTCGCCGAACATCGTTTTAATTAACATTTTCGAAGAGAGTTCAGGAAATAAGTTTTAATTAAACTTTAAGATTGGGAAGCTGAGAGAAGGAAGAAAGAAGTGTCAACATTCGCCGCATATTTTTTTGGTAGGTGGAAAATATTATCAATATTAAATAACTGCTGTCAATGTGGGTTATTTATTTTTTACTTGATTTTTCATTTTCCCCACGATGGTTGACATTTTCACTGCCACATTTGTGTTCTTAAAGTTACAAGGAAAATTGTAAAGGTTTTAATTACTTTTTCAATTTACAAGAGTTGTTTGGTATTTATTTTTTCTGAAGTTACAAATATTTCCTTCATGTTACTTTAAGTTTGGAAGATTTCTTTTAAGATACATTGCATTTGGAACATTTGCTTTAGGTTACATTGCATTTTTTGAATATTTTAAGCAGATTTTAAGTAAATTAAATAAAAATTGCAATGCTTTAATACTTAATCGTTCTCAAAATGAAAAATATAATCAAAACCTCACTTATTTTCAATACACAATCACAAGCTTCATAAAAATACTGCTTTTATGTGGCTTTTTATTGCCTAAATATTTTTCAAAGCTCCCAAAAATAGTACAAATATCAAAAACTCATCAAAATATTTATCAATAAAGGCTCTACCAAAAGTTCATATTTATTCATATTTTCCGACATATTTTCACTCCCTGCTAATGACATTTTCCCGGCACTCCAGTGATGATGATGACGAAAACCTGTCATTGCGAGCACATATCCGGTGTTCCTTATGGCTGGCATTATCAGTGCCTTGTTGGCTTTTAATTAGACAACTGTCGTGTGTCGAGGAAAATCGCACACACGAGCCTCGTTAGCGGTCAGTTTCAGTTTCTGTGTTACATTCCCAGTCCTAGGACCTGTCAATAGGCATACTTACAGGGCCAACTCCCACCCCAGATTTGGCCATTAACAACTCCCCTGCATATGTATTAATGGCCAGCAGAGAGAGAGGCTGTGGAGATAGAGTCTATCCTGATGATGATTTGTTTGCCGGCAGCATTTGATTGGACGCTTTTGTGGTTGGACATTGAATGCATTTCAAAGATATTGCATTTGAGGCTTTTGTGGTCCAATTGTCAAATATGTGCAGCTTTCGGAGCACTCGAAGGCGATTACTTCTAATTACACTAATTTAGCATTTTTGGCACCAAGGTCTTTAATTAGTTTTCATTTAAATTGGTTTATTTACCATTAAGACTAAGATGAGAAAGTGAGATTTAATTAGGGTAAATTTATAGGTTACTATGCTTAGTAGTTAAATAGGTAACTAATAATTTCTGTGATAAATCATAACGATTTACATAAGCATATTTATTCTAAATAGTTTGTATAGCAAACAAACTTTAACCCAGTATTAATAATTAATCCTTGAACAGGAATTTGATGTCATATTTTAAAATTTAACTTAATTAAAAAGAAAAAGTTTGCTCTATATCCTTTGATTAGCTTTTAATCACACAAAATCCCACATAGACCGACCTCTTGCTTCACACTAAAAGTGCCACTTTTCTCATTAAATATTTTTAATGAGTTTTTTTTATACTCTCTTCCGTGCTTCATGTTTTGCATTTCATTTTTTTTTAGTTTATTCAAATGGAATTTGTGTTAAGTGTAATTTAAGCGCAATCACAAAAAACCAACAAATATGCAGCAAAGCTCCTTCATCATCGTCAACATCCTGACAGACATTGCCAAAGGCGACAAGTGCTAATCGCTCATTTGGCATTCAATATGCTGAACCTACGCTTTTCCCCGCTTTTCCTTTCCAGTATTTTTTTTTGGGTAGTGACTACAAGTAGCATAAAAAGCGCAGTGGGGGGAAAATGCATTTCAGTCAAGTTTGCTTTTAGTCTTGGCTGCGCTTTTAAGCTTATTTAAATTGCGGCGGCGACTTAAGCCGCAGAGAAAAGGCTAATGCGGTGTGGGGAATGACGCTTTTCCAGCGTGAGAGGAAAATGGAAATGAATGTGGTGGATCCCCCCCATAAGTGTTGCATTGTGCAAGTGGTTGCTGTGCTTAGTTCAATTCTACAAGTGTGTGTCTTTCTTTTATTTAATTAAAATGACAGCAATTGGGAAATGAGTCTTTGGGTTTTCCTAGTTCAGGTAATAGTTGTTATAAGGTTAAGCTATGTGTTCTTCTTTAATTCTCTTTACATTTTTATATAGAATTTTTCAAGTAGAATCTGTTTATATCATCCAAATCGAGTAATTAATAATATAAAAGAAACCTTTTAGTATACGCCCTATTGTGCTCCCAAAAGTA